CGTTTTTGAGGCAGGGTCTCCCTGTAATCCCAGCTGTCCTGGAACTCACTATGTGGACCAGACTGACCTTGCACACCTGCCTCTGCCTCCCAAGTGCTAGGACTAAAGGTGTGCACCACCACACCCAGCTATAGCCCAATTTTAATACTAGTTATGTTAATACTGGGAGAGATGGAAAAAAAAAAAAAACTAAGCCTGCTCTAAGCTATAGAAAGTCAATATTCAAGGCTGTCTAAAAGGCCCTGAGAGGACCTTGTCAAGTTACAAAGAAAAATCCTTACGAAATGCCAAATGGTTCCTTATCGTCTCCTGGATAAGGCTGAGACACGGGATCTGGTTAAAACTAAAAAACAAACCTCTCCAGAACTAGTTGTCACTAGAGCAAGAGGGACAGCCCAGTTACTGCCTAACTGGCCAGAGCTACTACAGATCAGGCAAGCAGGGGGCCCAGCAGGAACAGCAACTCCATAAAGTATGTACCTTAGCAAGTATCGAACACCATCACCTGCATCCTTCAGGGGTTCCAGATAGACCTCCAGCCTCTTATAGGACAGAACCAGGTTGAAAAGATCAAACGCTGGCGGCTTTGTAGGGGCAAGTGGTGACTCCGGGAGAGCCTCAGGCATCACACTGGGGTTCACCTCTGGTCCACTCCCCTCACGCTCTGATGTCTGCATCCTGTAAGCGTAATTCCCCACACTTAGCGTGAACTTCCAGTCTCCAACACATGTCCCCCTTGCATTCTTTCATATGGTGCTTAAAATAAAACTTGAACGGTAAGAGGGCACACCCATTTCACATAGGAGGAAACTTTGTTCCTGCTGAGGCTGAGCAGGGTGAAGTGACCTACTCAGATAGAAAAGCTTGGTCCTGAGGATCCCCCATGCAACGCTCCTTTCCCCACATACTTAACAAAAGCATTATAAGCCATAATGGCCAGGTTGTTGGAGGGAGGCAGTCAGTAAACCCAAGAAAATAGATGTCTTGGAATAACTTTCGCCGCTCTTTATCTGGTGATCCCTCTTCATCCATCAAGTGTCATTTTAAACAGCTCTCTCCTGGGCTCTGGGAAGTCTTTGCCAACTCCCCAAGTGTGGCCTGGGAGATCCTTCCTGAGGCTCCCCAAAGGCTTCTGAACCCTGACAAAGCATTTATCACGTCAAAGTAAACCTTCCTGCTTTTTCGGTGGTCTCCGAGCTCATAACTCTGGCTGGCCTCCATCACTGGAGAAGGGGCCGCCCAGGTCCCCAAATCCCTATGGGACCAGCTGGGGAGAAAGCACCCGCGCAGGCACGAGATCCGAGCCTAGGATGGCTACAGGCTGGACCACCGACACCTCCGCAGGCCGTGGAAGTCAGGCCACACCCAAGACCTCGGAGCCAGCAGGTGCCGGTTCCTCCGGGCGCGAGCGCCCAGTTCTGCAATCCGCGAGCACACACACGAGCGGGGACGAGATGGCCATCACCTACCCGGATGCTGGGCCAGGGGAGGGGCAGGGGGCACCGGAAGGGCTACGGCGCTCCGGAGAGTTCCCGCAGGCCCGCCCCACCCCGACACCGCACTCCTCCCACAGCAGTCCGGCAGTCTCAGGTCCGAGAGGCGACCGCGCCTAACGCAGCCGTCGCTTCCGGGACGCTAGTCACTCCGCGGCGGCGCGTGCCTGACGTCACCGCGCCCGTCCCGCCTCCGGGCCCCATTCCGGGCAGAGCTCCTCCCACCCAAGCGCAGGTTAGTGCGCTTGTCCCCAGTGTGCCTGCGCCCCCCCGCCCCCCCC